CTCTGAGTTCCACCTCCTCCAGGAAGCTTTCCCTGAACAAAACTACCCCCAACCAGGAGAGATTTTTCTGTTTCTGACCTTCTTGGGCATTTATGGCTACTACTGTATTGGTATTTAATTATGAACTTTGACTTCTTATCTTTGCCCATGTGTGTTTCTGGTTTGTTTCTCCATCTAGAACGTAATCCCTTTGAAGAACTGCATCTTATGTTTTTCTGTCCCCATGGGTTGTCCAAAATTTCTTGCATGTGGTTTATGTATCATAAATCTCCGTATGCAGGACTCACAGGACACCAGGAAGGGAACCCCTAAGCTCATGATTTACCAGCGTCAAAGGACTGGTTTGCCTTCATGACAGGACTGGAGACTAGGACCATTTAGGTTTTAAGCAGCAGCTCAGAAAACAGGGTAGATGGATAGCTTCCTAACTTTGGATAGCAGGTAGTGTTCCTTTAAGTGTACTCTTCATAGGAGTCCAGTGTGTAAAGCAAGTGAGGGTGGAGTTGGTCTGGCTCCCCTGGAATGGGGCTGCCCCATGTCCCCCACCCCTCCGTGGCAGCTCCAGGCACCACCAAGGAAACCTTGGAACTGGAGTATCATAGTTTCAAAAATTGCTGGGAAAGATCATATTTTACTCCACATTAAAAGAATTTACTAATTCAGATTATTGAAAGAAGAAATTACATGCACTCATTTTATTAAAATCATATTTGCTGTTGCGTTTATAGAACGGCAATTAGGCAGCGTTTTCCTCTTCGTTATACACATTTACTGTTTTGTTTTTCCTCCATCAACCTTGTTCATGCCTCATGCTTTTGAAGGGAAGATGCTTCTGCCAGAACATTCACTGCATTTGAGTGAAGGCTCTGTTCACTCTTGCATTTTCCCCTTTACACCGGCAGCTCCTTGAGAGCGGAGTCCACTGCGTTCTACTCCTTTCCTCACCTCCAGCCCTAGCAGGGTGCCTGGTGCATAGTAGGTGCTCAGTAACTGAGCTCCGAAGGGATTTGAGTCTTTAATTATACAGCCACCTCTCAATGGGCTAGACCCAGCTCATGAGCTCTGTGAATGATCCGTGGTGAATTTTAATGTGGCGTTGGCTTCCTGCTGCTGCTCAGCTTAAGCCTGAGCCGCCTCCCTGTTCTCCCCCTCCCCACATCCCCCTTCCCCTGCCCAGCTGGCGTGGGCTCAGAGAATATTAGTTAATTTTAATATTAGCCTAGGAAAGATTAATTAGGAAAGCAAATTTGCTCTAAAAGGTGTAATTAATTCCAAAGCCAAATGGAAGAGAGTTATGGATTATCTGCATTGCTGCTGCCTTCAAGTAGTGTGGATAATCAAGGGTTGACTAGACAAGTGCAGAATAATTTTGAAAGTGTCAGTGCTGTGTAGACCAAACTCCATATGGTTCCTTATGTAAGCAGACTCATGGCTGAGACAAAAGATTTGTACCGAGATGGTGCCTATGCAAGTGAAGCAAAGAGGAAACACGTAATCAGCCATCCTGTTGGGGCTATTCTGCCTTCTAAATCATTCATGAATTGTGTGTCTTCCTCCCTAGTCCTCCCCCAGACTCTTTTCTAGACTGTTGTAATAACCTCCGAGGAGTCCTGTAGCCTCCAGACTGCTCCTTACCAATTCATCCTCCACTTGGTATCAAACTAGGTATAATGATACCGTGGGCCACTTACAAACCTCTACGTGTGCCCAGAGGTGAAGGCAGAGCCCTTAGCATGGCCTACCAGATTCTTCACAAATTGGAGGGATCCACCTACTCAACCTGACTCACTTCTCTTCTTGCTCACCACACCCTAGAATGTCTGTAATTGTTTATAGGGCAAACTCTTGGTCATCCTGGAATTCTCAGCTTAAATATACCTTTGGACCTTTACGGTTCAGATTCTGGGCTCCTGCAGCGTTCTTTTAACACTTTTCTTATTTTATTATTATTTTTTTGTAGCTATTGTTTCCTTTTCTCTTTAAAGAGACAGCAGTGAGCTCCTTGAAAGAGAGACTATAGCTTTTTTTTTTTTTTTTTTTTTTTTTTTTTAATACAGAGTCTCACTCTGTTGCCCAGGCTGGAGTGTAGTGGCACGATCTTGGCTCACTTCGATCTCCGCCTCCCGAGTTCAAGTGATTCCCCTGCCTCAGCCTTCCAAGTAGCTGGGATTACAGGCAGGCACCACCACACCCTGCTAATTTTTGTATTTTTAGTAGAGACAGGGCTTCAGCATGTTGGCCAGGATGGTCTCGATCTGTTGACCTCGTGATCCGCCCTCCTCGGCCTCCCAAAGTGCTGGGATTACAGGCGTGAGCCCCCACGCCCGGCCATATAGCTTTTGCATCTTTGTATTCTCCTCTACCTTTCCTTGATTTAGGGCAAGCGCAACTCCTGTCCTATAGGAGATGATCAATAAATAATTTTTGAAAGAAATTGGTGAGCTAATGATTTCAACAATGATGACAACCAGATCAGCTCACTGAAACCCAACCTTCTTCCTTTTCCCTCCAGTCAGTAGTAAATTCAGCTTGAACTATCTGGGGAAATGCCTTAGTTTTCCACTTTCCTTTGCCTGCATAGCGGAGGCTCAGAGACAGGTGGCTTCAGGAAGAAAGTTATCGGAGAACAGTGAGTGATGCAGCCTTTAGACTGACAGCTGCTGATCTTTGCTTTAGTTGATTTCCCCTTTTACAAATGGTTATTGGCAATTGAAACTGCAAATCTATCTTCTCCCCTATGTAAATTGCATTTACATTTAAATTGTGCATTTTTCCAAAGAATGGGGTTAGTAAATAACTTGAAGATTAAATTTGAGGAGAGGAAATTGTGCCCCACGTCAAATCTGAGACTGAAGTGACATCTGGCTTTTACTATTTCCGTTATTTCAGTTTAATAACAGCATGTGGCATTAAGGGAAGAGAAATTGGATCTACATTTTAATGAAAGGAGGAAGCTCTCAGGGTTTAGATACCTTATCATGTTGAATACCGAGTCAATTGGCAATTAAAACTTGCTTCCCTCAAGAAATAGAATAAAATATCTTTGCAGCCACGGGGAGAATAAAAAACAAACAAAAAAAACAAGCTAATGCCCAGAACTGCGCAGATAAAATGCAGGGAGATGGTATGCTGCAAAGAATGAAACCAAATATTTCAGGATAGCACAGAGCGCAGGAATTCATACAACGAATAATGCTCACAATAGAATCATAACTATGCTGGTGGATTTTCAAGAGAATAATTTCAAGCAGAATAGTTTGCACATAATATGGGGCTCAACCCATAGATGTTGATTGAAATCATCTGATTTAATCCTTCTCAACCTAGCTTGTTTTAAACCCCAGCCATTTAACCAAGAAAATATTTCAGAAATGCCTGTTTCATCCCAACAGTCTAACTGTTTAAATGGAAGCAGTTCCACCTGCTGGCTGCTTTTTTGTTGAAAGCAATTCTGGGAAATGTAAACAAAATGCTTGTGCATCCTAATAACCCAAGCCTATCATTTATTTGCTTTGACTGAAACAAATATGTCAATTTTCAAGGTCTTTGTTTGGTGAATGCAATGTTTGGATGTTGGTAAATGTTTGCATTACATGTTTGTTTGGAAACTGATGGTCTATTCAGAAACTGTGGAGCCATAGCCTTTGGAGGCACAGCCTGGGAGCACTCCATGAGCCTTTATAACCGCCCACCCAAAGATATTCAGCTTTCCCAGAATCTGGAAAGGACTGAAATTATAGACTCCCATGGGCAAGTGTAAATGAGATGAAGCCTCCTGAGGAAGATACTGGATGTGGAAACTTTCCAGGGGTAGGGCCCATGAGTAGAATAACGAAAAACATTTATATAACGCCTACTATGTGCCAAACACTTTATGTGTATTATAACTCATTGAATAGCTGGGTGCAGTGGCTCAAGCCTGTAATCCCAGCACTTTGGGAGGCCGAGGTGGGTGGATCATAAGGTCAAGAGATCGAGACCATCCTGGCCAACATGATGAAACCCCGTCTTGACTAAAAACACAAAAATTAGCTGGGTGTGGTGGTCACACCCCTGTAGTCCCAGCTACTTGGGAGGCTGAGGCAGGAGAATTGCTTGAACCCGGGAGGCAGAGGTTGCAGTGAGCCGAGATTGTGCCACTGCACTCCAGCCTGGAGCCTGGCGACAGAGTGAGACTCTGTCTCAAAAAAAAAACCATTGAATAACATAGCTCTTTGAAGCAGAGGCCATTTTTATTATCCCCCATTATGAACAAAGGGGAGACACAGTGAAGTTAGTAACTTACCCGATTTGATGTCACCCAGCTGGTAAATGACAGAATTGGGATTTGACTCTACGCAGGCTGGCTCCACTGTCCTCATCACCCCTTTCAGCTCAGTCCCTCTATCCCTGCGATTTAATGAAGGCTGTGTTTTCTCACAGTTACATTTTGTCTCGCACGCGTCTTTAAAATCTAAGCAGTTGTTCTTGAAAGATGCAGGCTAATAGGCTCACAGATCTTTCCTTAAATAAAATAAGGCAATAACAACAAGTAGCCTTTTGTAACATAGAGGGTAATGTCTGTCTCAGCTGTCTTATAAGTGTCCAGAGGGTGAAATGAGATGATACAAAAGTGCATTGAAAAGGCCAAAACCGTCAAACTTCTGTAATGTATTATTATTTATCTGCCTTCCTTCTTGATTTCTTATTTTCTTTTTCTTTTTTTTTTTTTTTGAGACGGAGTTTCACTCTTGTAACCCAGGCTGGAGTGCAATGGCACGATCTCGGCTCACCGCAACCTCTGCCTCTTGGGTTCAGGCAATTCTCCTGCCTCAACCTCCTGAGCAGCTGGGATTACAGGCACACGCCACCATGCCCAGCTAATGTTTTGTATTTTTAGTAGAGACGGGGTTTCACCATGTTGACCAGGATAGTCTCGATCTCTTGACCTCGTGATCCACCCACCTTGGCCTCCCAAAGTGCTGGGATTACAGGCTTGAGCCACCGCAGCCGGCTGATTTCTTATTTTCTTAAATGAATAATCCTTAACAAATTAATATAGGTTTCTTCCACTTTCCTATTTTCCCTGGAGTGTATGGTCAAATTGCCCAACTAGCAGTATGGGCCTTTTGATGGGTGGTCTAGAACTTGAGTTTGTTTGATTTCTCCTTTCTCTTCCTGGTTTCCTGACCCATTTGGTTTGGTAGCAGCTCCTTACTTCCTGTGCATAATGATAACTTCTCTGCATCTCTTGACATTTTATCATGGCAGTGTGCCTATGAAGTCGACCAGCACCTCCTTCTGTTTGAACTTAGGTTATATTAATCATCTGATTTGCACATCAATCTGTTGCTAGGGGGGTTACTGATGTCACACTGTCAGTATTATGATTACCATAATATCTAACAGGCAAAAAGGAACTGGTTGCTAGTGGAAACCTTAGGGTAAAACTCACCCAGCTTTAGTAACCAACTCGATTGCATAGACTTCCGATAACCATGTGAAGGGGTAAGTGGATTAATCATCCAGTTGGATTTCATTTGAATATTTTTCTTCCATATGTGTGTTCCCTCTAGGTAATTGTCTAGTGTCACTTGAAATTGATGAGGGCTCTTTTGGAGGTTATTTTTGGGAAGTTGGTGAAACAACAGACAGCTGTTCTCAGGAACAAATGTCACAGGATCTGCCGAAGCTCGCTTCCAGTAAAAAAGAAAGAAAGAAAATACGAGGTGCTGAGGTGCATTCATTGTCCTTTTTCTTCCTAGCGTTTGGTTGTTTCCCACTGGCCTAAAAGTGTTAAGTCAGTTTCCCAAATACATGGAAAAGGAGGAAACTAGCATTATGAGGTACCTACTATGTGTGCTAGAATGTGACTCTCCTTAAAGCATCGCTTTAGAGAGTTGTCAAACTAGGTATTCCAGAACAACACTATTATACATAACAAGTCATGATTTTTTCTAGCTTGTATACAATGTTCTTCCTAATTGGACATTGATTGATCACCCACAAAAGCAAAGTCATTATTTAAAATTGGTCTACATCCTCCTATGCTGAGTAATTATCTTGCTGTTGTTTTCACTGCAATATTAAAAAGCCTTGAAACGTGATAGAAATGAGGTACAATAACTCCAAAATTAAAAATCTCTGTTAAAAGGTTTGACAAATGGGTCTGTCTTTTTGCCGATTTGGTTACTAGGTAGAAGGGTCAATTTTGGGAAATCAAGGGATCAACTGGATAAAACTGATTGAACTTGAGGTTGTGCAGATTTGCAAAAGCCATATCAAGATTTTTATAAATCTATATGAATCAATTTGTGTGCCAGAGAATGAATAGCTAACTTTTTCTTTTTCCAAATGCCAATTCAGCAATTACTAAGTCTGCTAGCGGTTAATTAAAAACTACCATCTTGTTATGTTCAGAGTTAAATTACAAGTGTGAAAACTACTACTGTTTGCAATAACTGAATGCTCTGTACTCTCTGTACTGTCATCAAAAGGAGGGCAGGGATAAATAACTTTTATTTAACTCACTAAAAAAAAATCTTCTCCGCTCTTTCATATTTAATTAACTTCTTATCTTCTCAGAGCTTGGGTTTTACTCAGAGCTCCTAAGCAGTAATGGAAACATCTGTTTATTTTGTCCAGAAGATTCTTCTCACATTCGTTGAACAGAACAGTTATAAATAACTGAGCCCTAAAGATGCTGGGGAAAATGACACCCATCCAAAGTTTTACATTGGAGGCAACTAATCCCAGCAGGGATTTATGGCAGAAGTAGAAAGGGTTGATTTTTGCTTTATTGCCTGTGCACCTAACAGGTTGGGGAGATAGGGTTGTGAACACTTATGTGGACTGGTAACATTTGAGTACTTATTTGTAAGGCTGTCTTAATGAACTTAATGTTTCGCTATTTCAAGAATTCCACCATCAGAAAAGAGGCCAAACTTCCATCACCATGGTGGATGCCAAGTGTCTGAGTGACTGTAAATTGCAGAACCAACTTGAGAAGCTTGGATTTTCACCTGGCCCAATACTACGTATGTACAATATGCAGCAAATATTAAAGACTAGTCATTTATTGTTTGTAAACCACTTCCAATAGAAGGAACATATGCAATAAAACCATTAAAATATAAATAGGAAAATAGAAAACCAGAAAGAGGGAAGAGGCAATAAATATACTCAAATCCTACTTACAGGTTAAGATTGGGCATTTTTCTTACTGCAACCTCTGCCTCCCAGATTCAGGCTATTCTCCTGCCTTAGCCTCCCGAGCAGCTGGGATTACAGGTGCACACCACCATGCCTGGCTAATTATTTTGTATTTTGTAGAGAGGGGGTTTCACCACGTTGCTCAGGCTTGTCTTGAACTCCTGACCTCAAGTAATCCACCTGCCTTGGCCTCCCAAAGTACTGGAATTACAGGCATGAGTCACCACACCCAGCCCATGGATTGGGTGTTTTTCCTCAGTGAAAAATCAGTTACTCTTTATTATATTGTCCTACTTTTTGTTTTGTTTTTAGTATGTAGACTCTGTTAACTATGTATTTATTATCTGTATTCTTCATAGATAGGATGTACAGCCTTGTCTGTCTTCTCAGATGTATCCAATGCCTGACTCTGTGGTTAATCCATACAGGTATCACCTAAGTGTTTGTGGAAAGGAAGGTGCGAGTTCAATAGCTGTGAGTCCACCTCATTTAAAAAGCCATAATTGGACAGGGTGCAGTGGCTCCTGTCTATAATCTCAGCACTTTGGGAGACCGAGGCAGGTGATTCACTTGAGATCAGGAGTTCAAGACCAGCCTGGCCAACATGGTGAAATCCCATCTCTATTAAAATACAAAAATTAGCCGAGTATGGTGGCACACATCTGTGGTCCTGGCTGCTGGAGAGGCTGAAGTGGAAGAATCACTTGAATCTGGGAGGCAGACGCTGCAGTGAGCTGAGATCATGCCATAGCACTCCAGACCGGGAGACAGAGTGAGACCCTGTCACCCCCTGCCAAAAAAAGCCATAATGTAAGGGATAATAATAAAAGAATAAAAGTCTGAGTTATGAAATACCTTGAACCCAGTAGGATCATATACAAAAACAGAACAATTTAATTTGTTCTCCAAATTCTTCCTCAGCTTCCACCAGAAAGTTGTATGAAAAAAAGTTAGTACAATTGTTGGTCTCACCTCCCTGTGCACCACCTGTGATGAATGGACCCAGAAAGCTGGATGGAGCTCAGGACAGTGATGACAGCGAAGGTACCGTCATAAGCCGTACTGCTAGATAGCAACTTTGCACTTATTAATACCTTGTCTAGTATGATTTATGCAGCTTTAAACAATGTGCAGCCTGACCTGTGAAATAGCCTCTTTGCACAGAGAGCCTGAAAAACAGGCCCCTGGGCTGTCAAAAGAATCTGTAACTTCACATCTGTATTCACGCCAGTGACTCAACTGGGTGGAAAGCTGGGGAATGACTAGCTCAATGTTCGTGTCCTTTTACTAACTAGAGCCAAATGTGTGGTGATGACTTAAAATCAGAAACTCCTACAAGTAAATTCTGGGCCTCCTTTGAAGTCTCATCCTCTGCTTTGCCTCAGTCGATACATCTGACCATTATTTTGGGGGGATTAAATTATTTTATGCCTATTAAGAAAGATGAACCACGCTGGTGGCTCACGCCTACATGTAATCCCAGTACTTTGGGAGGCCAAGGCAGGTGGAGCACCTGCGGTCAGGCTCGAGACCAGCCTGGTCAACATGGTGAAACCTCGTCTCTACTAAAAATACAAAAATTAGCCAGGCATGGTGGCACATGCCTGTAATCCCAGCTACTCTGGAGGCTGAGGCAGGAGAATCACTTGAACCCAGGAGTCGGAGGTTTCAGTGAGCCGAGATCGCACCACTGCACTCCAGCCTAGTGGACAGAGTGAGACTCCGTCTCAAAAAAGAAAAAAAAAAGAGATGAACCAAATTATACCTCCCTGAAATCCCTCCTATGCTGACTGCCCTCCTGATTTATATGAGAGCTGACAGCAGCTGGTCTCTTTCAGGTCACAGAGTGGGTAGGGAGCAGGGGTCTCCGGGATCTCTGAGCTTTGCTGACAGTGGCCCCTGCTCCAGGTATACCTTGCTCCTGCAGTGCCTTCTGGCTTCAGAGCTCCTAGGGGAAAGGCTTGGAGATTCCCACAATACATTCCAAGGCGTTTTCATTCAACAAATATTTATCAGGAGTTCTCAATGAGCCACAGAAAAATGACAGGAAGTACCATTAATTGAAGGCCACCAGTGCATCCTGGGCCTAACCCTTATCATCCCATTTAACTCTCATAGCACTTAGCAGAAGCTCAGAGAGGCCAAGCGACTGGCCCAGCATCACTGAGCTCAGAAGCAGCCCCAGACGACAAGCATAACATTAGCATGCGCCATGAAGAGCCGGACTCATCTGTCTTCATCACCACTCTATGTCCAGCTCCCGGAACAGTTCCAGGCACATAGCAGAACTCGGTGTACATTTGTTGGGTGAAAAGGACAGAACTGAGATTTGGACACTGTCTGGCTCTCCAAACTTTGCTCTTTCCACCCCATACACTTTTCTCACAATTTGTATTGTGAGGATGAACACATTACATTTTTTTTTTTTTTTT